CAGGAAACCAATCAGTCACAAGGATATTACATAAGGGAGGAATCTAAAAAGATGTGCAATATAACATAAGGTCTGGTGCTACAACTAAGAATGTCAGATCATGCCCTTGTAAATGAGTGATCAATCTCTATAGAGCATGTAATACCTAGCATGATGTTATGATAACTGATAGGAAAAAGCCCCACAATAATACTCATAGACATTCAGAGTCTATAAAGCATAGAGCCTTAAGCCAAAGCACCATATTCACTATAATTGGCAAATTAAAGTCATGAATAAACTGATTTCTAAAAATTTCTAGTCTTGGTTATTGTATTACTTTTTAAATGTTCACAACTTTGGATTTTACTCTTTTATTGTAACCTAGATTTCCTAGGACAGAAAATATATTACTATGATGTCTGAACTATGGCACCCATGTGTCCCTACTGGCAAGTTAAAGAGTTTTTAAACTTTTAGATAGTTGAAAAAGGGAAGAATGCCTGTGCAACATCAAAATGAAAAGGGCCAAGGAACATGTATGACCCATATGAAAGCACAAACGCCCGATCAGGTGTGCTTTAATTTTTTTTACTAAGAATGGCAGCATATGGCAAAAAAAGTAGCCTGGTGTTAAGATAATGAACAGCATCTGGCTACTTCATTTCCCATTATGGAAGGGACTGAAAAAATTGAATGTAAAAATGATACTACTTGAATTACAATGGTTTAAGGCATAGTTTTCCTCAGTATATCTAAAATCCACTTGGCAAAGAGAAACAACAGAATGAACAGAAACAGAGAAACAGAGAAACAGAGAAAAAAATATAACACATCATTAACTGGTAGCCAAACATCACAAGACACCCAAAAGCAGCACTATGCTTTACAAGCCCTGAATAAGAAAGACACTTGAAGAAACTAGATGAGTAATTAGTGCAAATTGGAAATTTTGGCATAAAAATAAAATTAAGATGACACTGATCGCATGGTGCCCCACCACAAAGGACAATAAAATGCCCTGCAAATCAAAGACTCCTTGCAGTCTGATGTAATCCAACTGACAAATCCATCTTTTCTATATTGCTTTGGTTTCTCAATAATTAGTCACTTATTATTACCCGCAAATGTAGTTTGTTTTATGGCTTGCCTTACTACATACACTTATTTACTTACATTATTTGTTTACATTATTACTCTGATTTATTCATTTATCTTCTATTTTTATCTGATTTCCGGTCCGCCCCCTATACGTCATCATTGAGTAAACTTTGACCCGGAACCACACAGTCAGCAGACACTTCCTGGGAGGGAGGATCTGCTGCTGATTGGGTGGAAAATGTCTGCTGGCTGTGAGGTTCCGGGTCAACGTTTACTCAATGATGACATATAGGGGGCGGACCGGAAATCAGATATGTTCGCCCAACGCGAACACGCTATTGTTCGCCTACGGACAGTTCGCGAACAGTTTGGCGGACAGTTCGCGATATCTCTACTCCAGAAGTGAGACCGATTAGTCTAATCTCATGTAAGGCATTTCTAAGCAATGCAAAAGAATCCATGCCCTTCGGGTAGAAAATATAAAACAATGGAAATGTGCTAAAGTACTAGATGAGAGTTGTACAGGCTCTGATTATAGTATGGAGGAGGGAGTTTCAAATGATTCTGAATATGTTCCTAGAATGTGACCATTCTCATTCAAGCTCTGAGGCACAGCTCCTTTCTATACGAAGGGAGGTGTCTGCCCGCACATCCCACGCGTCACCCTTCTGCCAGTCCCTACATTGGCTTCCTGTAAGATATAGGGCTCAACTCTGGATCTTGCTTTCAAATCTCTACATAATGCTGCTCCCACCTATCTTTCCTCCCATGTAGGCCCTTATGCTCTGCTGAATACTTACATCTATCTTGTGTCTGTACTCCCACCTCTGATGCTTGCTTTTAAGACTTCTCGAGGGCTGCATCGTTCCTATCGAACTCACTTCGCACCTCTGTTAGATGCTCACCCAGTTTCCACTTCTTAAAAAAATCATTAAAAACCCACTTCTTCATAAAAGCGTATCAATTAAACTGTTAATAGCTCCCGACTGATTCCTCTCTTGCAACTGTCATTAGTCTAGTACTATCCTTACCTTTTGTGTCACTTTACCCCACTCCTTCTAGCATGTAAGCTCATTGAGTAGGGCACTCAAACCCTCTGTTCCTGTGTGTCCAACTTGTCTGGTTATAACTACATGTTTGTTCGTCCACCCACTGTAAAGCGCTGCGGACTTTGTTGGCGCTATATAAATAATAACATAATAAAAATGAAAATACCTGTTATTTTTTTAATTTTGATTTTTATTTCAGCTTGAAATAAAAATCTCGAAGTGTAGATTACGATGACCAATCAGCAGCTCGTAAAATATCATCTAGTCGGCATCCTATCGCAGAAGCTATCAATGCCGGCCAACGTCATAATCCATTTGACCCATCTGGCCAAAGAAGGAGAGGATACTGGAAGGTGTGGTTTCAGGAAGAGATGAAAAATTGAGGTCTCATAGGATTTCAGAGCCAAGCCGTACGGAGTTTGCATACCCGTGTGTTATGCTACTTGGGTTATTTGGATTGGAACTCAACTGCAGCTTGTAGAACTCCTTAATTACAATAGTAAAGAAACAAAGAATCTTTACAGTATCAATACTGTAGCTTTAAGAAAAGAGAGGATTGCTGGAAATTTGAGAATCAAACAAAGTTTTAATGATTGATAAACTTAAATGAATTGCATATAGGCAATAGAAGAAAGTGCAGGTTATCAAACAATACAAAGTTCATTAATAAGTATTTCCTCAGAGAAATTTTTAATAAGATTCTTTAGGTTGCTGGGAATAATCTTCAATAGAAACATTAATCAGGTAGCAGAGAGTATTTGCAAGCAAGAAACAGTTCATAGTAAATAAGCATGATGGGAGTTGTCCTCCATATAATTAGTAACTTGAAGCAGAGAAGATTTGAGCAAGCAGGAATTGGTTCATTAATAAATGATATTGCAGACAATAGTTGAAAGATATACTTAAAGTTAAGATGAGTTGTCCTCCAAGAGTTCAGAGTTATAGTCCACTTGTAAATTAGCAAAGTATCCGTTCTCCAGTAATCCTTTATGGCATGCAGCAATCCTTGCATTGGCTCAAAGGCTGGGACGGCTTGTCAGAGCTTGTGGAGCCGGCGTGTATACCCGGAAGTAGGTCCCACAATCACCAAGCCTTCTCCTTGGTGTGGTCTCCCTAAGTACTGTCAGAGCCACGTCAGAAGGGGGAGGGGCCGGCTCCGCAATACGGAAGTGCCGAACCCGGAAGAGATACCACATGACAGGACCCCCACCTAAGGAGCACACTCCGGGTGCTGTTACCTTGGTTTCTGAGGGTACCTTTTGTGAAAAGCAGTAATTAACTTCTTTGCATGAATTTCAGAGGAATTCTCCCAGGTGTTATCTTCATCTCCATAACCTTTCCATCTAATAAGGTATTGTAAGTTACCTCTATGAAGTCTGGAGTCAAGAATTCTCTCTATTTCATATTCCATCTTGAACTTCAATGGGGTCAGGCTTTGACAATTGTTCCCTATGGAAGGGATCTGGGAGAAAAGACTTGAGAAGGGAAACATGAAAAACAGGATGAAGTTTAAGTGAAGGAGGAAGTTTCAATTTCACAGCATTTTCATTAATAATGGATTCAATTTGAAAAGGTCCAAGGAAAAGAGGACTAAGTTTCTTAGAAGGACGGTTAGTAGAAATATTTTTTGAAGATAGCCAAACAGTGTCACCAATTTTATATTTAGGAGGCGGTCTCCTTTTGGTGTCATAATTTCGTTTATGTAAGATCATAGAACTTTCAAGGTTTTTCTTTAATTGATTAAACAATGAGGACATTTCCATATTTTGAATAGAAACCATTGGATTCGAAGTTGTCTTGGGATCATCAGGAAACAAAGAGGGATGGAATCCATAATTTGAAAAGAATGGTGTCATTTTGCTGCTTGAGTGTATGGAATTATTATAGGCAAATTCAGCTATGGGTAACCAATTACTCCAATCATCTTGTAAATATGTACAGTAATAACGAAGGTATTGTTCCAGACATTGATTGACTCGTTCTGTTTGGCCATTTGTTTGCGGATGGTATGCTGAAGAAAGTTTACGTTGGATTTGAAGTGAAGAACACATTTCCTTCCAAAAACGTGAAGTAAATTGAGAACCTCTGTCTGAGATTATTTCTTCAAGGAATCCATGTAATTTGATTATATTGTCAATAAATTTTTTGGAAAGTTCAGAGGATGAGGGTAACTTTTTCAAAGGAGTGAAATGTGACATTTTCGTGACACTGTCCATCTTTAATAGAACTGTGCATTGACAGTGAGTCAGAGATAGACTGTGTACTGCAAAGGATCCGGCCAGAAGTTCCAACCACTTGATATGCATCATTGTTTCCAGGTCCGACCATCTGTCTCCTGTGGAAGTATCTCAACAATGTTCACTCCAACCGTGTAAGCTCGCATCCGATTCTATGATCAGGTCTGGGGTTGTTCCGAAGATAGTGCGTCCATTCCACGCTTGCATGTGGAGTAGCCACCAGTGAAGCTGGTCTTTCGCCTCTTTGTCTAATGTCACCATGTCTTCGTAGGATGCCCTGCCTCTGAGGTAAGAGGATTGTAACCCTTGAAGAGCTCGGTAGTGGAGCGGGCCTGGGAATATGTCCTGGATGGAAGCTGCCAGGAGCCCGATGACTCGTGCCAAGTGTTTGAGGGAGAGCTGGGGAATGGCCAATGTGTGTCTGATTTCTTTTTTGATATTTATCAATTTTGATGCCGGAAGATATAATGTCTGTAAGGTTGAGTCAATCACCAGTCCCAGGAATTCAATATGTTGAGCAGGTGTCAAAATGGATTTTTTCAAATTGATAAAGAAACCCAGGTTTTGCAGTAATGCCAGAGTCCACGTCAGGTGTGTGTGGAGAAGGTTGGCAGACTGGGCTAGAAGGAGGATATCATCCAGATAGATGATTAGCCGAGCATGCCCCTCTAATCGTACCATCGGAGTCTGAATCGGACTGACCAATCGAAACGTCCTTATCGGACTCATCCATTTCCTCCTCAATGTAACTGAGCTCTGAAGAATCAAGTTGGGCTCTTGCCTGCTTCTGTAGTCTGGCTGATTTTGCCCGGCTAGTGGCTCTTTTGTGCAGTGGTGGTTGCGTGCCATCTGTGACAGTAGGCAAACTGTCAGTCAATACAGTTTTGGAGGAATGTTTGGTCTTGGCCGTAGCCTTACGGCCTTGAGAGACCGGTGTCAGAGTAGATGTAGTTGACATACCCATCTGCTGCACAGACTGTTGGGCTTATAAGAGGGCCTGTGTAATAGTATGTGACAGAGAAGTTGACACAGAGCCCATAGCAGATACCATAGCCTGCGTGATGGACCTAGAAACGGAGGCGTTGAAGAGCACCTGTATGTCTGCAGGTGCCGAGAAATCAGGGGACGAACGTGAACGAACATCAGAAAGAAATGAAATGCATGCCTGCGCAGACTCACACGAATGAACTGTTCATGCAAAATACACAAAAGGTGAAAAGTACTGAACGTGGCTCGCAGGGGAAACAGAAAGGTATATAAAACCAATGAACTGCATGAATACTGAATGGTACGCATATATACAAACACACAAACTGAAAAAAATGTTAAGCCAAAAGGAAAAGGGCACAAAAAATGCAGAGAAGAAAGTAAAACAGTCGTAGGTTAGAAAAGTGAAAGACTGAAACCGGAGACAAGAAAAGGGAGGGGAATAGTACCATATAAATTTATTTACACAAAAAATAATTATAACATAAATGTAATAAAACAAAAATTAAAACAAAGACAAAAGTATTATAACTAACTATAAGACAAAATTATAAATAGATATAAGTATACATATAAATATCAATATATGAGCAAATAGTTCAGGGAATACCGCCTATTATGCATTAACCCCTTAAGACCGGAGGACGTACTATTACGCCCTATTTTAGGCGGCTCTAATAGTACGCCCTCCTTTTTTTTTACTTATCAGCAATCGCGGTTGGGGGGACTCCCATGGAGCCCCCCGCGGCACATCCGACCTCCTGCAGCCCCCCTCCCCCCGGCCATGTGAGAGTGAGGTCCTTGCGAGGACCTCACAATCACATGGCCGGGTTAGCTGCCTGCTGCATTGCCAGCAGGGGGACTGCCTGTAATGACAGGTAGTCCCCCTGCTGGCTGAATTCAAATCAAATAAAGTTAAAATAAGTGTAAAAAAAATAAATTATATACTTAGATCATATATATATATATTATATATATATTATCTAAGTATATATACATATATATATATATATACACATATACATACACACACATACGCTGTCAAGGTGTATTTTACTATTAATATATATATAATTATATATATATATATATATATATTAATATTAAATTACACTTAGACTGATACTGATTAAATATATATAATTATTGTTATATATATATATATTTATATATAATATTAAAAAAATGTAAATACGTAAAAAAATAAAATTAAAACAATAATTAAAAATAAATAATTAAAAAATATATAGATGTGTGTTATTTCGTTCAAACTGTATTGTGATATTAATATATTTATATATATATCAAAATACACGTAGAACAAAATAATATATATATCTATATACATAAATATATACGTATATATCACTATATATATACGTAAATATGAATAAAAATATTTTTAAAAAATTATATATATATATACATATATATATACACATACATATATATATATGTATATATATATATATATATATATACATATATTAATTCTACGTATATATTTATGTAATATTTTTACATAATTAGGTATCTTAATTAATTACAATTAGCGGGACCTGCCTGACAATCCATGCCGAAAGTAAAGGGAATTTAATTTGCTAGCACTATATTTAACCCTATACTTTCCATGACACCATAACACCTGTACATGGGGGGTACTGTTCTACTCGGGAGACTTTGCAGAACACAAATATTAGTGTTTCAAAACAGTAAAATGTATTACAACGATGATATCGCCAGTAAAAGTGACATTTTTTGAATTTTTCACGCACAAACATCACTTACACGGACGATATTATTGCTGCGATACTTTTTACTGTTTTGAAACACAAATATTTGTGTTCAGCAAAGTCTCCAGAGTACAACATTACCCCTCATGTACAGGTTTTATGGTATTTTCAAAAGTTACAGCGTCAAATATAAGGCTTGTGTTTCATTTTTTTCACATTAAAATTCGCCAGATTGGTTAAGTTACCTTTGAGACCCTATGGTAGCCCAAGAATGAAAACTACCCCTATGATGGCATACCATTTGCAATAGTAGACAACACAAAGTATTGCAAACGGGGTATGTCCAGTCTTTTTTAGTAGCCACTTAGTCACAAACACTGGCCAAAATTGGCGTTTTTTGCATTTTTCACACACAAACAAATACTAACGCTAACTTTGGCCAGTGTTTGTGACCAAATGGCTACTAAAAAGACTGGACATACCCCATTTGCAATACCTTGGGTTGTCTACTATTGCAAATGGTATGCCATTATGGGTGTAAATTTCATTCCTGGGCTACTATACAGTCTCAAAGGCAACATAACCTATCTGGCGAATTTCAATTTCAAATGTAACGTGCTATATTTGACCCTGTAACTTCCCAAAACGCCATAAAACCTGTACATAGGGGGTACTGTTTTACACGTGAGACTTTGCTGAATACAAATATGTGTATTTTATTGCAGTAAAAGCAAACAGTATTATGACATTGACAGTTAAAATGTCATGTAGAACTAAAAAAAATTACAAAATCTTATTTTCTCCCATTTTTTTCATATTAAATTATGTTTTATAGCTAAACATTTGATATTAAATGAAAGCCCTGTTTCCTCTGAATAAAATGATATATAATAAAGGTGGGTGCATTTACTATGAAAGAGGTGAATTACGGTTGGACAGACAAGGAGCGCAAATGCCAGGTTTTGTTTACATTTTGTTTTGTTCACAACGTGTACATTTGGCTCCGTCCTTAAGGGGTTAAGCAACAAGGAAATGTCAGATCTCACCAAGAAGAACGGCATTCAATAACTTGCTCTACACTATCCAGGCTACATTACCAACCTTTCATTAAAAAAATGAGGGCAGATGTATCCAGTTATCACTCTCCAAGAGTTAATTTCTTTTCCCAGTTAAGGCTTTGTCACGTGTAATCCAAATCCACAATGTGTTTCACCAGTTAAGGCTTTATCTAGTGGAATCTAAATCCATTTGGTTTCCACTTGATAAAGCCTTAACTGGTAAAACGCATTGTGGATATTATAAAAATTGCCTTTCTTCAGCTCCATGGTACTTTACCAAGCTGATAAACCTTTCATTTCCTGTCCCTGCACAAGGGTGTTTAATTTTTTGTCTAGATGACATCCCGATTGTGTCTCAAGACATTTCTTTTCTTTCTCGTATTATTGTACTGTAGATATTCTTACTGATATAGGCCAGCAGCACACTATAATTTATGCATGTTCAGGTGGGTGCAGCCTCTTGGTTTCATATATTTATATTTTGGAGTCTTGGCCAACTCCCTGGTTTTGCACCCCTCCCTGTCACAAGCGCCTTATTTAAGGGCCCTATTTAACCTTGACCTGCAGGGAGCCCCAGGAGGAACTATTTCCCAAGTAAGTGGATTAATCTCATAAGAGCAGGCATTAGGCTGTCAGAGTAGGACCTGCCAAGAATGGGGTACATTGACGTCATGGCAGGCTTATGCAATGTATGATCATATACTGTAACTTTTGCCTAGATAAGGTATTTTTAAGTCAAACTATTATATTCTGTAAAACTTCAAATTGATGTTTAGTGAATAAGAGAGTGCGCTGGATATTGTATGAGATATATTTATATATATATATATATATATATACATATATATATATATATATATAGGGATAGTATATATATATATATATATATATATATATATATATATATATATATATATATATACAAAAATAGATTAACCCCTTGCACTCCAACTAAAAAAAGTGATAGCAATACAGAAAAATAAAAAAAATATACCGGTACTCTAGGTTTTCTTCATTCGATTTAATTTGTAAATCCAAAAATGTCAACGTTTCAGCTCCCGGGCGGAGCTTTCATCAGGGCACATAAAATAACATACATCAAAATGACAAACATGTAAAGGACACATCATCCAATGCTCACTCATCAAATCAGCTGTATCACATCACCTCTAAAGTCTGGCATTCCCTTTGCACGTATGTGCATGTCTGTCTTTCAATAAATCAATCCCACATCACAGAGTAGCTGTAGCCAATCATTTTTCTGCGGCTACGTCACAGTTCCATGGCAACCATTTGTTAGTACCTTGCCCACGGTTGCCGCTGTGTAAACAGTAGACGCAGGGAGAATATCTCCTTTTTTCAACGATCGGCCAGCCTTACCCATGACGTGGGTTTATTGACATTATTATAGCAACATTTCCCCACCGTACTTAAGGGGACACGGATACAAAAGTATCCAATGTAGTTATCCAATTTGAAAAGAAGAACGTTATTGTTACTTTCATGTTCTGACTTACTTTACTGTCTCGCTGCCACCGGGATATGATCAATCGCCACGCATCTTAAGGTAGAGACGCCAGACTTTAGAGGTGATGTGATACAGCTGATTTGGTGAGTGAGCATTGGATGATGTGTCCTTTGTATGTTTGTCATTTTGATGTATGTTATTTTATGTGTCTTGATGAAAGCTCCGACCGGGAGCTGAAACTTTGACATTTTTGGATTTACAAATTAAATCGGATGAAGAAAACCTAGAGTGCTGGTATATTTTTTTGATTTATATATATATATATATATATATATATATATATATTTATTATTATTTAACAACTAATCAATTGCAGTTTTGAAAACAAGGAATTATACATCAATTTGGGTTGATAATTAAAATAATACATTTTAGCTATCAACTTTACCATGACAACAGGCTTATGTTGCTGTAAAAGCTTCCACACAGTTTTTTTCCCCTGCATATTAAATAGGATAAAGCTATTGCTATTGCTATTTGTATGCCTGGATAAACTTGAAATAGCTTGTTGGGAATGTGATCCTAAGATGCCCTCAATGTGTTTCTTTGTCCGTGGTACACTAAAGTTGCAGCTGATGGTCTATTACCAAAAGGACTAATGTTTGACACAAGGGCAACATACCATATAATTGCAAGTATCAAAAAATTCAAAAGCTTT